GCCCCTGGCTCCAGAACCTCCCTGCTCTGGGGGGGAGCAGCCTTCGCGTGCTCAGCCCCCGCAGATCCTCTGCCAACAGCCCTGACCACCAGCTCAGCCCCTCCCCGGCGTCCCCCTGCCCCTGGCTCCAGAACCTCCCTGCTCTGGGGGGGAGCAGCCTTCGCGTGCTCAGCCCCCGCAGATCCTCTGCCAACAGCCCTGACCACCAGCTCAGCCCCTCCCCGGGGTCCCCCCGAGAGGAAGCCAAGCGGAGCCCCACGTAGCCTCCAGAGGGGGAGGGGTTTAAACCCCTCGGCCAGGCAAATCCTTGTCACAAGCCCCAGGCCTGCCTCCTGCACGTGCCCCGAAATCGGGACTCGACCCCTTGGAACCGACGTGGCCCACCTGTTTGAAAAGCACCCTTGGCCCAGAGGGAAAACCCGGGTGCGTCTGCCCCTCCAAGCCACTTTGCAGCAACGTTCTGGGCCAGAAAGCCGCCCCTCTCCTCTAGGTGGGCCCCTAAACCCCAAACCACGTGCGCCAGTTTCAGCCAGACCCCCAACCCTTCCCCCCCCAACTCCAACACTCCAAACCCAACCAACAGTTTGCAACTAAATACTTTTAAAACCCACAGACTCCTGGAGTTGGTGCAAAGGCACCTTGGAGAGCTGGCAAGCCGTGTTTGCAGAGACTGTCAAACCCAGCTATTTAAACACTCCATTTCAACAGTTTGCAACACAATACTGTTCAGTTCATCCCCACACCTTCCTCCTGCATAGCCCTAAATGACACCCGACAATCGAAAGCTCCTTTTTAAACCACCCCCCCAAAGCACAGTTCGCAGTGTAAAATCCCCAATATTTTTAAAAAACGCTCAACGCCAACAATTGGCGACAAGGCGTGCACGTCCCCCCCCAACTCACAAACAATTTGAACATCAAAATCACCTTTTGTAACCATTTAAAAACTCACACCCTTTGCACACAGTAAAAAACGCGGTATTTAAAAACACTCCAAACCAAGAGTTCGCTGCAAACTACTTTTCAAGAGACCCCCCCCCCGTCTCCTGCATATGCCCTAAAACACAAACAACCATTTAAACAATAACACCAACTTTTTAAAGTCCCCTGGTTTTAAAAGAGCCCACCTTTTTAAAAGCCAAAATCAGAAATGTACCTTCCGCCACAGGGTAAAGGAGGGGTTAATCGGACTTCCCACAAGTGTACCTGGGCCTTTGGGTTAAAGAACAAGCAACGTTTTAGTGAGTTTTCTTCCCTAGATACCTCCAACCCTGCTGCATCCTATAATACCATGTTTTGTGGTTTGCTGCTGTTTTTAAAATGGCACAACTACAGTTCCCATGGGATTTTCCTTCCCCTGATGACATGCAGCTTTTGCAGCCTCTACACATCAACAGATGGCAGATGAGTGGCGTTATCTACTGTGTATTTTAGAGAGTTTGTCTGTCTCTGTCCGTGTGGCCGTCCCTCTGTGAAGAGAGGTTAAAGCGACTGGGACTTTTCAGTTTAGAAAAGAGGAGACTGAGGGGGGATGGGATAGAGGTCTATAAAATCATGAGTGGTGTGGAGAGGGTGAATAAAGAAAAGTTAGTTATTAGTTCCCATAATATAAGGACTAGAGGACACCAAATGAAGTTAATGGGTAGCAGATTTAAAACTAACAACAGAAAGTTCTTCTTCACCCAGCGTGTACAGGAAGTCCCCGGGTTACGTACAAGAGAGGGACTGTAGGTTTGTTCTTAAGTTGAATTTGTATGTAAGTCGGAACTGGTACATATTGTAGGGGAAACTCGAGCCAAACATTTCTCCAGAGCTCAGTTTTATTCTCCCACACCTCACTTCCCTCAGTCCTTTATTCTCAAGCTGAGGTGTCTGCTGAGAAAAGCCACTCTGCGTCTCCCTGGTCTGCTG